GGAGCAGCAGAAATCCACGTGGCACACGTGGCTAAATTCTCGATGAAAAGGTGACATCACGTGTGCTCAAAGATGTTCTTGAATCGATGCCACGTTAATGCCACGTCAATTTCTGCAATTGCACAATTTCTGGTCATTTGAAGGCGAGGGTAAGTAGCGGTCAAAAGTTTGGAAACTTTTTTATTTTGATCTAGCGTAGCCAATAGACAATGAAATTGTCCCGAATTCACATATTATACGCAGAATCAAGTGTAGATTACGATGAGCAACATAATTTTTTGAAACCGAGAACCGCATCCGAAAAATGCGAATTTTTATAAGAAATGGCGCGTCAAAAGTTTGGAAACTTCCAAATTCCGAAGCGAATTCGGCAAAATAGCTCTCGAATCCACATGATAAATTAGTTATTCGATGAGAAGCTGTGAATTTTATGTCGGCACCGTTTTATTGACACGAAGTTGATTAGAAAATAATTTTAGATTTTTAAGTCAAACTTTGCACACGTACACTTAGATCACAGCTGTTCGTGTGTGCTTAAAGGAATCTTCCACGGACCATGGACCAGTGGGCGGGACCGGAAGTTTTTGTGACGAAATGCATGGTAGGTACGGATCCACGTGTCGAACGCACGAACGTGAACAGGATTCACTTCAAACCTTCCCATGAACGTGGATCCGTACCTACCATGCATTTCGTCGCAAAACCACTTCCGGTCCCGCCCACTGGTCCATGGTCCGTGGAAGATTCCTTTAACACATTGACGACCGCGCGCGTTTTGGCTTTTTTGGCCGTGTGGGACCGGGCCGATTTTGCGAGTGCGACCGCCGCACCTCGGATCCGTGAATTTTTATTGATAACTTTTTAAAGCACCAGTGGTACAAAAACATCTCAGTAACAGTCAATGCGTAGAAGGTAATAGAGTATATAGTGACGAAGTTCCGATTAAAGAACATGTAATGGTAATGAAAAAGGAAACTTTAGTCATTTTATCTGTAGTGGATGCCAAAAGCTCTTTTGATGTGGTTATACCAAGTGAAACATGTATTTTTCTGTCTCTTTAGATTTGCATTTACTTTCACTACCCTTTTTTATTGACGTGTTCATGAGAATAGCATGAAAACTATTAATGAACCAAGCCGCCGGTTTCGGTGAGCTTGGAAAACTTCTTCTAAACTGGAGCATATTTGAACAAACAATGACCTATGTCGTTCACAATAATGTTATGTTCTAATCCATAGAAGAGAGACAAACAATTCGGGAAAAAGCTGCGCATGCCCTAGAAAAAGGGATGATAAGGGTGAGACGCGGTAACGCGTCTCAATGTCCAACGAGGTGCGCAAAGTGAGACGCGTTACCGCGTCTCAATGTCGTCAATGTGTTAACTGGAATGTGGGTTGAGCGACATGCCAGTTCTTCCGTGGGATGTAGAACTCAATTAGACTTTAGATCTTGACTTGGTCGCTTCATAACAGCTTCTTTTTCTGGGTTTAGGAAGGCGGCAGTGAGGAGGTAGGCCTGCATTGGGTCATTTCCACGAATAGAAAACCCATCTTTTTCGGCTAGTTCTGACTATTCGTACGTAATAACTTCGTATTTTATACTTAGCCCAACCCACATTTCGCTGGATATATAGAACTGGGGAATCGCCGGATGGTCGGACACATCTTCCATGAATACTTCACCCATTTCTGACTGTTGGAATCTCATACTCAAAATGAGGTTCCCATTTGACATAACGCTTCACAGGATCCACAACATCATTTTTAGGAAGACAGAAATCCCATCGTCGCTGAGGACAAAGTTTTACCTCTCGCCTTCGGTCCATGTTAGCCGTTAGTGTGCGGAAGCCAGTTGGGCCATCCTGCTCTTGAAGCCCAACAATGGCTTCTTGTTGGGACATCATCCGTAATATTCACCAGGTCGCGGCCGATGTTGAGCTGCACTTCCACTTTCATATGATTAGGAAAAATCAGAAAAGTCGTCTCTTAGTTGAAGATGTCGGTTGTACGGGACGTGCCAACCACCTTTCGAAGTATTTGAAGAGGGCCAATTTCTTATGAGGATACTTTTTTGTGAATGATCATTCTTCTTATGCTTACTCGACTCCAATAACGCTAGAAACATTCGATAGTATTGCTTCCGTAGAGAATGAACTACTAAGAAACAATTTCAATTTCGTATTCCGGATGTAGGGTTTAAAAAACCTCTCATGGAAAAACTGCTTATTATAACTTCGTATAAAACTACATTATTTCCTTTGCATACGAATTCATTTTGAAATTACACATTACTCAATGGTTGAACTAAAATTAACAAAACAAGTGAACATTGAAGAGTAGGAATCATAATGATGAAGGGAAACAAAAAGTTTCCAAACTTTTGACGCGCCATTACTTGAAAAAAATCTTATTTCTCAAATATGATTATAGATTTTTGGAAATTTCTTCTTCGTCGTATTCTGAACTCGATTTTGTATGTAACCTCCAAATTTGGGACAACTTCGTTATGTATCGGCCGCGCCAGATCAAAAATAAAAAAGTATTCCAAACTTTTGACCGCTACTGTATCTTGGGCTTAATTCAAAGTTCCATGGGAAGTTGATTGCTAGGTATAAGTGAAGATTTCCTGAGCGCAGCATTAACTTAGTTGCATGGATAGATTTTAAAATAACTTTTTTTTTTCATGCGAGATTTCGTCGACGAAGCACTTCGAAAAAAATTCCTGTGTGCGTGCGTTTTTTCTCGGCAACTGAGCTACTCGACAACACTAGCACATAGACACTATCCATGAGATATTATATGTGCCACCTTTCAACTGAGCGTCCGAAAAAGGAAGCCGTCACGGCGTGCAGCAACTAAAATCGCTCCGCGGCGACTCAGAGGCACTGGTCCGGGTCAATTTGGTGCGTCATTTTTTTTTTGAAAATTAGGCAAGAAGTGCGATAAGGAACGCCACTGGGAAAAGCAAAAAGCACCATAGAAAACACTAAATTTCCCTTTGTGAGGTCGGCCGTGGTATGACGGAGAGACACAGCGCTGCGAGGAGAGGGAAAACGCGAGAGAGTACGTCGTGCCCGAGAAGACGCAAACGCCGCTTATGTCCCGATTGTGGCAGCGCCGGCAGCAAACAAGGCAAGGCCCTAGCGCTTTGCCGTACTTTTGTGTCGCGGCTGCTAGGTCTCAGGACCCCTCTTTCTCACTCTAAAAGGGAGGGACCACCTCTTACCACCTAATCCCGAACCGAGGCTTTGAAGGCAGAATTTACGATGAAAAGTTAGCTCATTGGAAATAAGGGTAGAGGTGGTAGTGGAGCAGGGATGAAGAAGAAACCATTTGAAACGGCCCGAAACCCAGGAAATTGACCTTCATGGTCTGCGTGTAAGCCCAGGTGTTGCATACTTGGAAAGAATTGGCTACTTTGAATTTAAGTTTTTCGTTATTTTGAGATGAAAGAAAAGATTCATGGAGTTAGGGAATCTCCACCTTCGCCAAGGTGATGGCACGATTTCTATAAATCTCATTTCAGAGCACTTGAGTGGGTTCTTGCATGTTATACAATTTTTCGTGAAAACACTGTTTATGTCATGGCGAAGACTTTGTTCTTCTCAGTGGAATCGAAAACCATCTGGAGGGCAATAGAGCAACAGTAAGGACTACGCAATTGTCGTAATGGTCCACCCATACCTTCAGAGTGGAATGTGTTTTCAGGTTGTTAGCAATTTCGGTCGTTGTCTTCACTACTGGTCCGTCGTTAATCACATCTACTTCTTTACCAGGAGGCCCGTCGCGCGGCAAGAAGGCAGAGTCGGCGGACGAGTCGCAGCGCGTGATGTGCGATGTAGGACGTACAATGGTACATTCTATTTAACTTGACGCGAAATCACTATAGTACGCGCGCAACTCGTCCGCTGACTCTGCCTTCTTGCCGCGCGACGGGCCTCCTGTCGGGTACCCCTACTTTCATTTTCGTGAGCGACAACCCATATCTAGGCCGTCGTGTGATGAGCATTCAGTACCTTCACTTCACTGCCGTTCCTTCAAAAAATATCATACCTCTCAAAAATCTCAACTACTTTTCTCTCGGAAGCTGAAAACTCACTTCTGATCGAGTCTTCTCTTGTAATCCCACATTGCCAAATAGTGTCGGCAGGCGCTTTGGAATTTGGTGATGATCTTCGAAAGTTCTTCATCGCGAAGTTCTTCGAGATGAGCCAGCACACCAGATTTGAAGAAAATCTGCATTGAAGCACATTTCATTCCAATTTGAGCGCAGACCTATCGTGTGTAAATTGAGATAGGTATTGATTTGCCTTGAGTTTGCGCGCGAAAAATCGATACGCTATCCACAGGTATGTTCCAACCCGAGGGATCCAAGCATGTACCACCTCAACATATTATTTGCGCACCATAGAAGGTCAAATGCAGATAGAGCAAATTAAGTGCAGGCCAAAGAGAGCATGGTTGGTAAAAGAGCCCCCTTTCTTTGAATGATATGAAGAATGGTGATCGAAATCGTTGTCAAATGGACATGAAGAGACTGTCACGATGACACACTATGTCTCTATAATAAATTGCCAAAAAGAAGAGCTGTACTAATATACCTTAGTGAGACCGCATTGGTACTCTTCCGGTTTGATCGAGCCATTGGAAGCGAGCTTGGCCACGATTCCATCACCAGCCTCCTTGTCTGACTTTGCTTTTTTGGCGGCATCAGCAGCAAGTACAGCATATCTGAGAAAGATGTTCAAAGTCGTGGTTATATCGCCAACAGTACAAAAATCGCTCTCACCTCTGTTTGAAGTCAAGGTACGGCATGCGATTGGGGAATCCTTTACGACAAATACGAATTCCTTCCAGTACACCATTACAAGTCAGCTGATTAAGCACCAAATTCGCTTCAATCACACCTAAATATGATATTTGAATATTGGACTCCTGTGCCTTGGGCTAACACTGCTGGCTTGGGGATTTTCATTCTGAATGTTTTCAGGGCTGTGGTATTGACTTGTCGAAGCCTCGCATACATAGCATAGCACTTGTACAGTCTGCTGAATAAAACCCTTCTTTGGGCTAATTCCACGTGATGTGCAAACGTGCACTCGTTTATCATATTATGGCG